GCAATGGATTAAAGATTTTGATTTGTGGTGAAGGTACTGCGACATCTAATAAAACTGCAAATGTTGTCTATAAGAAGTTTTCTAAAACTTATTATGTTATTTTATCACATTGTGCGTTGTTGTAAGCTTCTCTAATATATATTACGTATCTTTGTTTAAAACGAATTTTATCTTTTACTTCTATCAATGCTTCCCTTATTTATTTAACTTTAATTCAGACCGTGCAACGCACGGGTTCGAGTCTAGTAATACTTGAAAGAACAGATGTGCGCTGCTCTTCTTCCACCAGCCGACACGACAAAGCAGCTTGGGTAGAGCAGCAACCTTCAGCGACCGGCAGCGAACAGAACCTGAGCGGAGGAACACCGAACAGAGTAAGGGAGTCTCTCGCCGGTGTTCCCAGTTCCGGCGACCAACAGAGAAAACAGGGTAGAAGACGAGCAGAGAAAGAACACAAAATAGAGCAGAGTAAAGAGCATAACAAGACAGAATGAAAGAAGAGGAAGACGAAAAAGAGCGAGAAGAACAAACACACACAACTTGCATATTTCAATTTCCCAAATTTTTTCCAGTTCCCCTCTTAAATTTCACAATTCAGTGGCATAGTTTGAATCAACAGATTAATTAACATATTCACGAACTCAACGTCAATTGAATGGAAATATAATAAGAATCCTAATCTACGAATCAGTTCTAACTAAAGAAACCACCACTCACCTCGATTGACGAATTAAACCATGGTTGACCCTTGTAGATCTCTAGCGAAGATATTTGGCAAAACTCCTTGTCTGCTCCGGTTGATGGCGCGACGAAGAAAGGTGTGAAGCAGAGGACACCCTCCATTTGGTCGATTCGGTCGGCGAAGGTATATATGGGAGAAGATATGGTACGACCGGATGGACTTATGGATCCGAGTAGTAAGCGTACTACTCATCCGAAAGTAAGTATTACTCATTCTCGCACAAACATAACTATTTATTTGATTTAGCGTCCTACTCATTCTAAAATAACGTAGCACTGATTCTGAAATAATGTAGTGCTAATTTTCACACATTTATTCAATATGATTATAATATTCATCGACAAATAACGTAGTGTCCATTCTGAATTAAAATAGTACACATTCTCAAATAACTTAATACTCGATCATTCTCAAATAAAATAAAA